GACAAAGTTTGGATTTCATGAAACATGCTCGCTATTGATGTTAAATCCTATAAAATGTTGTACACGTTTGCAGGCCGTGAACAGTCTCACCTCAATAGTGATATTATTCGGCATTTGCTGGCTGCCAGCAAGAATATTCACACTTGTGGCTACGAGATGGTACTCAGATCCTGTAGTTATAATGACGATAAAATGTTGTATCTTTATATGGTTAATCTTATCAGATTGTGTCTTTAATCCTGTCGTCTATGTACTTCTTAGTGATAAGTTCAAGGTACGTATAATTATGCTGTTGTTGTTGGTTATAACTTGTAAATGACATTATTCTCCAAAAGAGCAGATATTCTTAAAGACGTCACAATTTTACATTATGATTTATTGCAGGTTACTAGTATATATATGTATATATATATATATATATATATATATATATATATATATATATATATATATATATATATATATATATATATATATATATATATATATATATTAGTGTTATGACGTCATAATGCGTTTTTATTGCTCAGCGTGATACGTGCAGGGTCGTCACATCGCTATCAACTGTTCGTAACCATATCTTGTCCAAAAACGCAATTAATGCATATTTTATTAAATGGGTTACCACAGTAAGACATAAATGTTAGAAAACAACAAGTCTGTTTGATGGTTTGCTCGGTCGGTCGGTCGATCGGTCGTTCCCTCCCCGTTTGTTTGTTTGTTCGTTTGTCTGGAATCGTAAACAAGTCAGGTTTACAATAAATTGATCAGGGGTTGTTGCATAACGTATCATCCTCACACCACTTCTCTTTGGATACCTCCATTTGTACAACTATTATTATAGCTCCGGCCAATACATGAACAAGTAAGATACTTATATAATTCATATTTGATGGCTTAGTGGTGATTAGAAGCATTAATATGTAATCTGACAGCTATCCTCCATCGATATGTTTCAAACCAATTAGTTAGTAAACCATTACATTATGATGAATTTATATTTTTTACATTTTTCAGGCAGAGGCTAGACGTGTATGTCGTTGTTGCTTCGACCTCAATGAACGCTACCCGCCGTCAGCAGCAACGCGTACAACAGCGATAATATCGCATACTAACACAAGAAATACGATATTTAACAATTAATATGACTGAATTGATTCTACGTACATACAGTGCATTATGACGTAATGTATCCATCACGTGACACCACAGTGAGTCTGGTCGCCTGAGGTCTATATCACAACAAACTCGTATACGAGTAAAATTCAGAAAACCATTGTATTATGGATCGTGTTTCCGATATATCACAATTATTGTCTTAACGATATATAATAATTCATGTATTATGTGTATATTATTACCGTTTTAACAAAGTACAATCAAATTATTGTTGTTTATTTCCGATATTCTTACACCTACAGTTGTTTGTTTCAACACAGTGTGCTTATATTTTGTAACAATTATTAACCTGATATTCAATTATTACTTTCTCCAAATATATTTATTAGGTATGCATTATTAAGATATCATTGTTATACGTTATGGTATGACATATGGTAATTATCTTCAGAGAATTTTTTGGAATGGATTTTCATAAAATGTTCAGATGGGTTTGATTTTGATACAATCGCCTAAATCTTGGGATACAAGTTGATTCGGTTGTCATGGAGATAATAGTGTTGGCATTAAGTCTTCATTGATAACTTATGGTCGAATGTTTATGGTATTGTAGAGGGCTTGCCTTTGATACAAAAACTAATCTTTGTCCGGTTGCTGTGGTAATAGCAATTTTTGGAATGATTTAATTGGTAGAGATTTTTGCAAAGGTGTATTTGATGACAGATAACTAAAAAACGTATAAACGTGTTTTCGTGAAATTTGTATGTATTATTAGGAATGGAGTATTATAAAAGATGAGTACACTGCAGCTCTGAGGGAAGTTTTCACTCTAGTTTACTAAGATAAATCAACGCTTTTCTACACGAGTTGGTGCTTGCGCGATTGCTTGCGTAGTGGAAAGGTCATATTTCGAGCAATAAACATTCGAATGTGACGTAAATATGACGTCTTCCCATAATATGACAGAACGCGTCGATAACAAAATATATTATAGTCACATATCCGATCATATTTAGTATTTACCACTAGTTATTATTATATATTTCAGTTTGAAAAATAAATCACTATAAATATGAGCAAGAGAAACTCTCTTATTGTTGTGTTCATATCATATGGCAGAACGACTGAAAGCTATCACTGCATCACGAGTGAAAATAACTTCCATACTCAACAAACGTCACGACGAAGCCATGACATTCTGTATAATAATTACTCAATCCATATGTTTGTACGAGTGCGCGAAAAGGCCTATTCAAAATGTTGTCCAATGATTGGTTCATATGCAAATTGTTTTACAAAATAAAAAGAATTCAATGTATCCCATGGACATCTATCGTAACTCAGGGCCTTATTAAGCGTATTTTTGACATACATATCGAAGAATAAATGTAACTTTTAATAACCCTGGCCGAGACACGGCATCCAGCTGGAGAGTGTAATTGCCACGGCAATTTTGTTTTCACATAGAATTGCACGGTTCAGGACTGTGAAGGTTCATGAACACGTGACTAATTTGCATAGTTATTTCACGGCTCTTGGTATTTGCTTGTGCAACAATTAACTTTAATTAATGTCTTCTTAGTCAAATTACACAATCATAACACTTAACAATAATTACAGGGGCCAACAACTAGCTCGATATTTCAAGATATACAACAAATGCCCTTAGAAATGACTACTATATTTTGTCTCATTTGCATATGAGTTGCAGATATTACTAATGTTATTCCACTGCAAATGAGTATTTATTCTGAAGTACATATGTAATAATGCATATCATAGCAAATCGCGCCATTCGGATAGTCTTTAATACAATGTGCTTGACTGAGGTATTGTCACTGGCCATATGCAAATTAGAATGGTACAATATGCAAATCATACATGCTGTTAGATACTGACAGGTGATGGTGTTTTACAAACTAATTTATTTGTTTATACTATGTTCAATATATTGCAATGCAACGTTTTCAGTCGTATATCTGCAATTCCATGGCCGCATTAATCAATTGCGCATTTAGTAGACAGTCTTGATTGATAGGTCGATTTTCATGAACAACCGTTGCAAAAACAAAATAGCCTCATAAGTTCTATCTTGGTTAATAAATAATAAATGAAATCTCGCTGGGTTGAAATAATGAATTTAATACTGTGATAAATCCAATTCAAACAGTACAGTCGCTGGCACGGTTCTAAAAGCCGTACCTAGGCATAAATATTTGCTTGTACTTCCAGTCCAAAGCATTGGTTCATTATTTATTTGTAATAGTGCCACGTATTCCCTATCCATACATGGCTCTTGTTTCACTCCCATCAAAATTCTGTCACAACACTTGATTAACCGTATTATCCGTTGGGTCTTGGATTTAGTCTTCGAATATCTCATTTTCTTAATTTATCTTTGCTTGATGTTATCATAACGATAATTTGAAGATTTCAGAATAGTTTATATAATTTAGACAAAATTTGTGTATTTTACGATCACTATTAATTGTTATTAAAACTATTATCACCAATGTCACAACGCCATTTTCTGTGGCGATGTCGAACTATGACCTACGACCTTGGGTCATTGTGCGTTACAATGCAAGTATATGAACACACAAAAAGAAATAATACAAGCCGTTTAATTATTCCAGCTCCCTACAGTCTATGAAATATACAAAATACCAGTATCTCCATGGCACAATAGAATTTGAGTGACCCAACACTTGCCAGTAGGTGTTTTGATAGAAATTTATTATCAATTATGGAAATCATAAAATATTAGAACTACATAAATATACTATTAAATGCAAAAGCAAATAATCATACTATGTTAAGAATTTATCAAATACCTAAATAATAGAATGAAATGCCGTCAAATTCGTTTCAGGGGATTTGATTGGCATTCTCCACTAAATTTAAATATAAAAATGAATGTGAGAATAAAGCTGGAATAACAGATATTCAAACGATTGTACGAGGTATTGTTCAATGCAAATGTCCCACTGTTCCGTATAACCAGACTAGTTATTGGTTCCACAAAACTATTTGTACACACTGATTTTATATATAAAGACATTGTTTCTTCTCTCATAAAATTGTAACACATAGCCACTTTCTCTCCTTCTCAATGTCTGTTCAAGAAAATCTCCTAAAGTTGTACACCTCAGCGCTTTTTCCATCAATGCGTATACATGTACTTCACACTGTTCCCCAATATTGCTCAACTGCATACACCACTTAGACCAAACAATTAATCAGCCAATATTAGAACATCCCTATCAAAATTGTCTTTACACTCCAAGCAACAAAATAGTCTTTCAACAGTCAGAGGACGGCTGATGAGCATTGCGATATTACTTGTTTATGAGCTAATGAATTGATATTATATATACTATTGTATCCTGTGTTACTTAAAAACATCGTACAAGTACATACATTGTAATGCCGACTCCGTACAAGGAGTTCTAAGAGCTCTAAAGTTACGTTGTACACGTATCAATATTTTACATCTTTCATTTTGTTCTAATCTATGTTTGCATTGCGTCATTGAGTCTAGGTGAATGCATAATACGAGAAGGAATGTGCCATGAATGTCCATTTTATCCCGCCTATAATTATCACTTGAATAGCATAATTCTTGTTGGGCATTTTGTTTGTATATACTCAAATTAATCCGATATGTTGAGAAGTACTAGTACGTCATAGCAGGAATTGAAGCGAAATTGGTCATGTGATTATTCGACAGCTGATGAGTAAGTCAGGTGATAGTCATTGCTATGGACTACTCAATATATGAAGGCATATATGAAATTGACTTGTCAGCAGAAATTGTATGACTGCAGAAGTAGTAAGAACCTTTAAAATTCAGTTGAACTTTCCAAATTGATGTCAATATAATGTTTAGTCAACTATTTCAAAGGAATAATCAAATGACAAATGAAAACAAATTGAGAAAGGATTATAATTATAGCAATATCAAAAATAAATAGCAGCTTAATTGGGTTATTTGTCTATATAAGTTGTAGATAATGACCAATAACTTACTGAACTGAAGTGCTAGCAACGAGCAAATTTTGTGGTCTATTCACCAAAGAGATATTCCATCTGGCAAGATATGTCTCGTACTTATGGCGAGATAGTTGGTCTTTGTTAAGACTCTACTTGTTTATTATAATTGGATTTGAGTATTGTGTATAGAGTATAGTGTACAATTAATTCAGCCGAGGTATAGGTTATACTAATACCAGAGAAATAAGACTTGTCAGGGAGTGAAAGGAAGTGCCAGGGGAACAAAGCTCGGGCAGTGTACGACGATTCGCCCAGTTTACCAAAATTCAAATTCATATGATGGCAGTAAATTGTACAAATCATCATAAGACATGTATAATCTCCATGGTGATCACAAGTGAATATATTCGAAAGAGTAATAAAAAGTGGAAGTAGCCAAGATTACTTGAAATGTGTGCGCCGATCTGATTTGAAAATAACGGAGGACCTGGGACCATTCATCTGTAGTATTTAAAGATATATAAGTCATCATGTATTAGATATAAGCTAAAACACGTAACGTAATTACGTTACCATTGTCAATGTATCTTACAATAACATTCGATATCACGAATAATGTTTTATTATTATTTATTTAAGGCTCTTACGCAGATATGCATTATTTACAGGGGATTATGGATTAAGTCGGCCAGTATCTTCCATAATTTGAGACATCCTATATTGCATAAATGCTGCAAGGACAAAAAGTCATTAGTGAAGTATTTATAAAGGATATGGTGATGCTCAAGGGGTTATGAAATTCTCATCTGAAAATAAATCGCCTTTCTGGGTATTTACTGATATAGATTAGGTGAATTCATTGAATTATCTCCGAAGGGACGTCAGTATGTAGGCATACATATGTCTGAAATAATTTACATGTGTCATGTGTTCATTCCGTCGTAGTTGACAAACAGTGTGCATCGTGGGATTCAAACCATAGCACCGTCTTTACTATTACATAATATAAGCCACTCTCAGGTGACACGCTG